GTTCTCTGAGTTGGATGGTTTGGTCGTGGAGTTTTCATCGACTTTCTGAACGACATCATCAACACAACTCTATCAAAATCACTTATCTGAGCTACAAATCTTCTCCATCATCTCAATATCAATTCTTTACTTAAAACCAAATTTCATAAATTGTTTATACATATCATCTAAATTGGACGTTTTCTTAATAACCAATAAACTTTGTTTTATAATGAATGAATTGTCTACAATAAATCAAATAAAACAAAGCGGCAATCTCATCAAAAGGAAAATATAAAATTAACAATATTCAATACTAGAATATCATAAACTATTCATTCAAATGAAATGCAAAGCTAATAACTAGGTTTCATTGTTTATCCTTTAAATAATAAATCATTACTGTACAATATGTGTATATACATATGGATGTATGTATTGATGTAGTCATTTCTTTATAGAATTGTCAACAATGTTAAACAATCTAATGGTAGTAAACTATTCTTTATGAAAAACGACTCCCAAAAAAAAGATCAAACAAATATAGTTGTATACAATAAACTGGATGATAATACTCAATCATTCATTCAGGGACTAAAATATGATCATTATTTGTAACTATCAATTTTGTTTGAATACTTAAATGGTAACATACTTGAACTGTCATGTACATCATTAAAAGGGATGAATACAGTTTTATTTAAATAGGCTTATTTAGTATGAGTTAATATTAGTTTTAGTTTTAGTAATATGGAGAAACTCTGGAATAGATGGAAACATTCAAGTACATGGGAAGCATCGTTGATAAACAAAGAGTATAGGATGTAAAGGCGAGGATTGGCAAAACAAAGACAGCATTTCTACAATTGAAGAACATATGGAACTCAAAACGACTCTCAACTAACTTCAAAGTGAGAATCTTCAATACAAACGTCAAGACAGTCCTACTGTACGGAGATGAAACATGGAGAACTACTACATTCATCATCAGGAAGGTACAAGTATTTATCAACAGCTGTCTACGCAAAATACTCAACATCCATTGACCGGATACTATCAGCAGCAGCGTTTTATGAGGGTGGACAAACCAGCTTCCAGCTGAAGAGGAAACTAAGAAAAGACGTTGGAAGTGGATAAGACATACATTGAGGAAATCATCAATGTGCATCACGACTCAATCCCTAACTTGGAATCATAAAGGGAAGCGGAAAAGAGGAAGGTCAAAGAATACATTACGCCGGTAAATAGAAGCAGATATGAAAAGGATGAATGTTAACTGGAAAGAACTGGAAAGGAATGCTGAGGACAGAGTTGGATGGAGAATGCTGGTGAGCGGCCTATGCTCCTCGATGAGGGGTAACAGGCGTAAGTAAGTAAGTAAGTAAGTAAGTAATAGTATATACCAACAATTATACATAGGATTGAATTCAAGACCTTCACATCTCCCAATGAAAGTACTGTGATTAGACCATTTGATCTAGTAACTATTCAGTAAGTAAGATTACCCTTCATACTTAAAGATCTACTAGCTAATTACTGTTCAATACATTCGAACACCAATTATCTCAAATATTCATGTGGTAAATTCAAAAATTTTATTTGTTCAAGAAAATAACAGTACCGGACACCCGTTAAGACAAACAAGTGACATTTCTTACCCTAAATCTTTCTCCTAGCTATTTCCATTTTCATTTTATCCCATCCTTACTTACTTGAAGATTACAGTTCACTGACTTTAAACATAAAGTATTTATGGTTGAAAGCGTGAGTCAATTGAAGCTAGATCACCATGGAAAACCTGGAAGCACTGAACTGCCGTTTCATTCTATTGTAGGACTCCTTAGGAGTGCTCATCCACGATCCCGCACTCGCGAGATCCGAACCCAGGACCTACCAGTCTCGCGCCAGAGCAACTGTGAAAATACTGAATCTCCACACAAAACCCCATTCTGATAAAGTATTTAATAAAGTAGCACCAATACAGCTATTCATAAGCTTACTGATAGACGTACTGATTAAATAAGGCTTAATAAATAGTTTTTCGCAATAAATATTTGTATTTTCATTTCATTCATCTTTTAGCTTAACAAATGTTAAAGTTTTCTTTCCTTATAAATTTATTTGATCACACTGCATTTTATTCATGTTTTTGAATGTATCTGAGATGTCTATGGTATTTCTTACCGGATTTGTTGTGAGTTGAGACCCTAATACTTCAGTATCCTTACAGATATTAAACACCATTACAAGTGCTGTTAGGTGGCTGGACTAAAACATCAATGAGATCAGCTTTAACAGGGAATGCTCTGGTAATTACTTCAGACAAAGGCATATCCACATTTAAGAGGAGACTGGTGTTCTTCATGAAGTGTGGACCTATTAAACACAAAACTAACATTAGGGACACTACTACTGAGCCATTTTGGCTCAACAGGCCAGTAGGTACTATATTTTAGTTTTCACCCACATAGGTTGGTTGTACTAGCTTTCGGATAGATCAGTCAGTTTATATTCGTTGAGTCACGTTTTGACCTTATTAATTATTCGCTTATAACCTTTACTATTTTTCTTTGAGAGTATCTGTGTTTATTGCTTAACTCAATCAACATACGTCTGGAGTTTGCACGCTTGTTTTTCTGCTTTGCTTTCCTACTTCTCGTTTTTAACATCTGTCCGATTAAACGAGTACATAAAATAAATCCATCCAACTTGATCCATGTTTGGGTTCTTATTACTATAATCGCTCAAACGGAACTAAACAGATTTATGTTCATTTCATATCTATTAGTTCGTCCACCTGAGCGTCAGATCCACAGTCCACTAAAAAATATATTTATTCTAATTAACTACTGAATGGTAACCAGTATTATATTCATCTAATCCTAGCCCTAGGGTTACGTGATATTTACCACTCTTTAACAAGAAATATCTCTAACCATTAGGAAAATGATGCTCCTTGTAGACTACAAACCCACACCACTCACCTCCATAGTCAGAGATGTTACCACTAGACTATGAAGGTCGTTACAGAGAGTTACCCCTTACTGATGAATACCGATTAACGAGAAATCTAGGTCAAGAGTCTCCTGTAGACATCTTTTCAATCATCTAAAGTCGTAGCATGGCGCATGCGATTTCTACACAGATAGATTAATAACGATACTATAACTTCATCGATAGAATATAATCTTTTATTTATTTATTTATTTATTTGTTTAAACACATAAATATTGGTACAAAGGGGCACCAGATATATATGCGTCGCACAAATCAAATGAGATTTGTATGAGGGCTGTGATACTTCCCAGGGGCCCAAACCGAAAAAAGTGGTTTTCTTAGGGAGCCACACCCGGAGCCATTGACCTAAAGATCTGATCCACTAGGCAGTGGAGCATCATGAGGAGATGCAGTCCCATGGTAGCCGGTGATCAACGATTGATTCATACGCCATTTGTTCCTTCAGGATACTGGAGCCCATGTGCACCATTGGTTTGGAATCAGGGTTTTCCAACTCCCTTAGGTGGACTCATTTTGTCCACCAACCCGGATAAATCGCCGGGCATTCGCTTTTCGTCCTCTCAATTTTGTAAACAACAGTAGTGCCACGAGAAGGCAGTGAGTAGGGCTTCCCTGGCAGAGGATGTACACGCGTGGCCATGTAAGAACATTTCGAGAGGGAGAGCGGACTCTCCCCACTCTCGGCCGTACCAGAGCATTTGGGGGCCATATCAGTGCATGGATTAGACGAAAATGGCATTACTACAAGATTAATCATATAAAAAAACCTATTTGATCCATATACAAGAATAAAAGTAAATTATATTTATTATAAATGTAACTAAATAAAAATATATTTATATTCACAAATCAAAATCAATAAAACAAGAAAAGAAGAAAAATAAAGAGAAAACATCATTTCTATGGAACAGTCTTCCATCTTATCCCAAGTCATAATGATGTTGGTTTTAATTTTTAAAGAAAATTAAACATTAAAATGAATATGAAGATTTATTTTCTTTTGTTTTTTTACATCATCATGGATATACAGATTGTAAACCATTCTACTATTGCTACTGTTGCTATGGCAACAAACATTAGACAAAGGAATAGGGAAAAAAAGGATAAAATGGAGTAGTGTACAAGATTGTTTATGTATACGATGGACAAGTTATACCTTTAAAACAACAACAACAACAACAGCAGCAACAGTTTTTTATTTTCACTATGTAAACAAACTATTTCACATCTAAATAAAGACAGAACAAATATGGATGCAAAATAACATGAATTCATTATATATCGTGGTTTCTGATCAAGTTATTACAACCAAATATGTATTAGGGTTTTAGCATTGGGGTAATAAATAGTATGGAACAATGGACATAAGTGAATGTAAAAGGATTGGAATGACAAAAAGTTATCAATGATAACTATATACTTATATGTGCAAGGAAAGATCAGAGGTTATTAGGTCATAGAATGAAGGAAATATAAAGAGTGGGTGGTGTAGCTGATAAGAAACTACGACATATAATGAATTCATATTATTCTGCATCAATATTTGTTCTGTCTTTATTTCAATTCATAATGAGGGGGGGAACTAATTGCATGACATTTCTCATCTGTATTACGTCATAGATATAAAAGCACAAAAAGAAAAACAGGTTATGTAATGAAGTAAACATTTTGAGCAAAAGAAAAATAATTAAATAATCAATATTATTTACAAATAATATGCATTGGATGTATACTGTACATGCAACAATTCTTATTAAAAAAAATAAATCAATAAAAACAAACTTATGAAGAAAGAGGTACTTGATTTATATTGATGAATTAAGATTTTGATGTAACTACAAATCTTCTCCGAAAGGATTGCCCAAGACAGAGTTGGATGGAGAATGTTGATGGATGGCCTATGATCCTCTCCACGAGGGATAACAGGCGTATGTAAGTAAGTAAGTAAGTACAAATCTTCTTCATTATGACAAATAGGGAATTTCTGCTTTGACCATTTTGTACTAATATTCAATAGTATAAAAATATGTATTTTTGTATGTAGATTGATCATCAATATCATTTTCCTTAGTAACCATAATTTGATTTTTTTGTTTTTCTAACATTTGTTTCCGAGCATTACGGATACGTTGTTGTATTGTTATATGTAAGTCAATAGATTTTTTATTATTTTTGTTGGCTCCAGACAATTTCTTTGATTCAACAATAGATAGATATAGATATGAAAAAGAAATATTGATTCATTATTATAAAGTCATCTATCTAATGGTTATTATTAAAAACAGAAAATAGAAATTTTTTTAAATATAAATTTTTTCCAGTTAGTCACTAATCTCGTAGTTAAGTATTTACTAACGCTTGTCACCCCTCTTGGGATGAGCATAAGTTACTCACCAGTATTTACTATTATAACTCTGTGCTGAGCAATCCTTTACAGTTGTTTTCGGTTGTTATTCATCCTCTTCATGTTTCATTTGTTTTTCAGATCCAATGTGTTCATTGGTCTTCCTCTTCCTCGTTTATTTTCAGGTTTACAAATTAGAGATTGATTCACGATGTAGTTTGGTGAATTCCATAATGTATCTTCTATCCACCTCCAACGTCTTTTCTTAAGTTCCTCTTCATTTGGAATCTCATTTCTTCTCTCACACAGTAGGCTGTTGCTGATGATATCCAAACAAAAGACACTTCGTATCTTACGTAAACAATTGTTTAAAAATCCATACAAAAGAACTGTCTTGACGTTCGTATTGAAGATTGTGAATTTGATATTGGTTGACAGACAGTTGTTTTCAGTTCAGTATGCTCTTCAGTTGTAGGATTACTGTCCTTACTTTGTCGATCCTCGCCCTTACGTTTGAATCGGGTCCTCCTTGTTCATCGATAATGCTTCCCAGGTACTTTAAAGTTTTCGCCTCTTCTAGAGTTTCTCCATAAAGTATGAATGAGTTGGTGTTCTCTGTGTTATATTTGAGAATGTTGCTTTTTGCCTTGTGTATGTTGAGGCCTACTGATGCAAAGATTGCTGCTACACTAGTTGTCTTCATTTGCATTTTTTGATGTGTATGGGATAGAAGAGCGAGGTCACCTGTGAAGTCCAAATCATCTAGTTGTATGCAATCTGTTTATTGTATTCCATACTTTTCCTCAGATGTCGAGGTCTTCATAAGGCTAGTTAACAACACTAAAGACGAATACTTTTCTTAAAATCTTAACCTCAACAAGTTTTAGACGAATAGAATCAACATTCCATGTATTGCCTATTTCTTTTTACTTTACCACTTAGATATTATTTTGCACATTGACACAATTAATGACAGAATTCTGAAAGTACCTTCGACAACTATTTTGCATTAAGTCAGCTATATTGACATGTAAGCAATAAAGGATGTGATTTTTGGAAAACTGGTTGTGTTTTTTTTATTTTTACTTCTTATTTGTTTCGCTTGGAAAAAATTCTCCAGTGTTTTTTTAAATGTTAGGAATAGATTTAAAACGAGTTTCTACAACTCTATTTTACTATTGTTCAATGATTTTTAAGATGCCTCTCCCACATTTCATAGAAAGAGCTGATATCCTATAGCGGTAAATTCTAAATTATTATCAGAAGGGTTTTTTTGTGGAGATTTAGTATTTTCCATAGTTGAAAGCGTGAGTCAGTTGAAGCTAGACCACCAGGGAAAACCTGTAAGCACTGGACGGCCGTTTTGTTCTATTGTGAGACTCCTCAGTTAAGTGCTCTGGCGCGAGATTGGTAGGTCCTGGGTTTGAATCTCATGAGGCGAGGTCGTGGACGCGCACTGGTGAGGAGTCCCACAATAGGACGAAACGGCTATCCAGTGCTTACAGGTTTTCCCTGGTGGTCTAGCTTCAACTGGCTAACGCTTTCAACTATGGAAAATTCTAAATTGTTTTCTATTTTCATTCCCCAGTGAAAATGATAAAAGCTGTCCAGAAATTGGTGTTTATTTACGTGATTTGTATTGTAGAGGTAATAATATCTCTTTAAGCCTATCAGCAAAGGATACTCTTAACGTGTTCTAGAAAAAAATACAAGTAAATCAAGACATGATGCCAAAAAAATTCCTTAGACGTTAAACGTTTTTATCTTGACTTTCAAATTTCCTGAAAATTTCATTTTAAATTACTTTTCCTAGATAGAAGAAGATGCGACTAGCTAATATTAGATCACTCTTAATCTAAAATAAAATTGCCCGAATAGATTAAGGTATCTCAGTCCATATTCAAGTGGCCAAAACTTTTTATCCACGCTTAGTTGACTTATCATTCTTTTTGGATTGTTGGCGGCCTGTTTAAACCTCTAGGCTACCTGTTATTATCTTCTAGATATTTTAACAAGTTATCCAATTTCGTTTGTTTTAATACATCATTATGCCTATTAATCGCACAACCTATTCAGTTGCGTTTCTGAAAAGTTTAAGACCTTTCGCTGTAAAGGTTACAAAAGGCCTAATCAGAGATATCGTGGTTGCTAGCAATATGTAGCGGGAAGAATGTACATTATCCATATATCGATTGACTGGGCTGCCAACTTCTAACTGGCGATCACTCAATATCTATCGTCAGGAAGGACGAAGAAGTAAGAAACGCAAACTTGTTGAAGTACTTTGTGTTGAGAATTCTATATTGTACCAAAAATAAAATATTGAATAAAGCTAATAATAATAGTAATGAGTTGAAGTGTCCGAGATATAAAGATTTTCTATCAATAAAGTATATTTATCGATAAAAGGTCCTATTTATACTCCTGAAACGATTGTTCTAACTAGATGTCGATTACTATTATCATTGTTTATTCCCAAGCAACAAATGCACACATTGTAGATAACCTACCTTTTTATATGATGTTATATTTGTTTGTTTAATAGAGTTCTTCTTATATTCTTTATTCATATATGAAGAATTAATAAACTCAGATGAACAACTAGGTAGATCACTAAGGGATTCTTTAATAAGTATTTGTAATTTATCACGAAAATCATTTGAAATCCAATTAATTAATATTGGAAATTGTGTTTCCAATCGTTTATATTGTAATAATATTAAATTCCAATAACCTTCTAAATCACTTTTTAATGGAATATATTCAATTGACTGTTGTTTTTTTATATTTAAATTAGTTTCTAAGTAAATTTTGCATAATTTACACAACATTGTAAGATTTCCATTAATTAACATTTGCATATGACCAATACCTGTCAATAATTCATCATTATCTAAAAGAAAATAATTAAAAATTTATAATAAAGTTGATTAGTTATAATGAAGATAGTAACTGGTATGAACTGATCAAAGTTGCTCGGAAGAATTCAACATATGATAATATATATAAAAAAAGAACCATAGAAAGAATACACTACTATTGATAAGAGTTAATTGTTTAACAGGATAAATTTATAAGCAAAGATGGATAATGGGCAGCAGTAGAATCAAGAACGCGTGCTACTTAGTTCTATTTGTGATTCGTCAGCTGGATGTACTTACATCTCAGAGTTGATGTTCACTCTAGGACTCGAATTTAGTACTTTTCGCTTCAAACGCCATCACGTTATCCACTCAGCTACTGAATCCTGATAGCCACCTATGTGAAATGGAGTAAATTGGATAAATATAATTTAAAATAAACTATATCATTCATTAAATTCAATTGGAATTATTCGGTTGAATCTTTCCATTGACGTTTAGGACTGCAATTGATCAGTCTCTTATTGGCCATGTGTGCAAACTGTAAACTCCGTCTGTAGCTCCTCCGGAGGCTACTGCCGGTCCCAAGACCGGGTAAAGGGGGAGGGTTGGGCATGGGGTTAGCGACTCCATCCCGTAGAAAGCCAACTCACTAATAAAACGCTAACCAGAAAAAATTATTCAAACCATTTAAACTCTGCCCTGGGAGTAGAAGGAATAATTATGATGTCTCATGATGAAAGCCGAGTTCCTTCGAAAGTTATGAGGCCGATGCACCTTCTAACAACCAGAGCGACAATTTTTATAGGTACATGGAATGTCCGGACTATGTGGGAGACCGGAAGAGTCTTCCAAATTGCTGCAGAAATGAGAAAATACAACCTGGAGGTGTGCAAACTGTGGGTTCGAGTCCAATAGTGAACATTAACTCTGAGATGTACGTACATCCAGCCTACAAGTCCCAAATAGGCGAGTGTCCTTGATTCCACTGCTGGCCACCGTCCATCTTTGCTTATATATCATTCATTATTTCAAAATATTAACTAATATCAATGGGACCTTTTTAGGGTGTACATAATTTTTAACATAAATCAGTCCGGTAGTTAATCCCTTTACTGTTATCGTTTCTTGATCTACTAATTTCTAGTTTTTTTTCAAATTCTCTATTACTATCTAGCAGTACTGTATATTGTGTTAGATGAGTGATTAAGTATGCCATATATAAATCGTATGAAAACTGATAGGACTGAAAATAATCTCTACTTTTCCGTATTTAATTACCTCACATCATAGTGGAAGTATTATTTTATTAACTAATTTTAGTAAGAATTTTATGCTAAATTAATTTACTTTTCGACAGTTGAGATCATGAATCAATTGAAGCTGGACCACTATGGAAAGCCTGAAAGCAGGAAAGGTTAAGCGCTAGCGTAAAAGAATGATAGTTCCTGGAATCTCGCGAGGTGGAATCGTGGATGCGCATTACTGAGGAGTCCCACACTAGAACGAAACAGCCATCCATTACTCCCAGGTTTTCCATAATGATCTAACTTCAATTAACTCATGAATTCAAATATCAAGTTACAATAATATTTACAAAAACTGCTTTCAAAGAAAAAGAAAAACAATGAAACTTTAGATGACAAATAATTCTTAGAAGAAGGAGTTTTTGTGAAGATTTAGTATTTTCATAGTTGAAAGCTTGAGTCAAATGAAGCTAGACTATCAAGGAAAACCTGGAAGCAATGGACAGCCATTTCGTCTTATTGTGGGACTCCTCAGCAGTGAGCATCCACAATTCTGCACCCACGAGATTCGAACTCTGTCTCGCGCCAGAGAACTTAACCGATAGATCACTAAGCCGGCATCCGATGGTGCTTCAATTGACTGACGCTTTGCACTATGAAAAGTCTTATAAGTAAAATGTATTTTAAGATTTACACTTACTTAGGTTTTCATTTGTTAAATCTAATAGATTGTCATTTATAGTGTGATTATTCTGATCAACCATCCCTTTTGCTAGATTAATCACATTCATTAATTGACATTCAAATGTTTGTACATATTTCAATAGATTCATTACATAATCTCTATCATTATTTATTGATAATTCTAAATGAGTAGTAGTACTTTCAGAATTTTTAATACATTCAAATGGATTATTAGTAGTATTATGTACAATATCTGATTGATAATATAATTCATTTGAAGAAGATGAAAGCCTCTTCATAGATTCATCAATTTCATCAAATCTCGTTGATCCAGATAGTAATGGACAGAATAATGTTGACAAGTTATCCGATGGTGTATTATTATTATTACTGACAGTAGAAGTAGTAGTAGTAGTACTTGTACTCATATCTTGATTTGTTAATGATTGTTCATTTTCAAATAAAGTTGTAAGTTCTTCTTTCTTTCTTAATTGAATACAATCCATTTCATTAGTTTTAGATATTACTGTTGACAGTTTATTATGGCATCGAATATTAACTGGTAACAATACATTTAATGGTTGTTTTAATTTAGCTGATTTAGCTTTTATAGCAAATGCAGTATTTCTACGTTTTATAGGTGGTGTTTTAGATTTAATAGCTGATAGAATATTATAGGAATTCTTTTTCTTCTTCTGTTTATGTATATCATCTATTCCAAGATTTATCAATAATTGATCCGAATCATTATTAGAATTATACTGATTATTCTTATTAGTAGTATCTTGATTTATACTAAATATATCAGATAAAATTATTAAATCATCTTTACTATATTGGTTACTATGTTGTTGTTGTTGGTGGTGGTGGTGTTGTTGTTTAATAAACATATCACCATGATCATTATTCAATATTATCGATTTTTCAACAGATTGTCTTGGATCATTCTGTTAAAATGAAACGGGAAAAAAAATTTTTTTAAAGGAATTTATTATTGTCTGATTTAGATGATGAACAATTTGGTTCCATAAAATATTGAAGGGAAATTTTAAATTGGGTTTCCTTTCCTTTTTCAACCGGTCATGTTATGATTATCTTTTTCATAATCAAAATGAGGTGACAATTTATAATTGGAATAAGTAGGATTTTTCGGGTTTTTTTTACTTTATCAGACAATACATGTTGCTAGGTAAAGATGTTTACCTTATATAATAATAATAATAGTAATAATAATAATAACCAAATGGTGTTTACAGTTAGCCTATCAATGGTTAGTTATTGAAATCAGTTTTTTTTGTGCAATAAATAGCCATTTATGAATATACACTTGAAAGTCTGTGAAATAGTTGATAGTGTAGTGAATGAATAGTTAGGTAGGAAAGATCTATAATCCAAAATGAACAATATTTGAGCTCAAATATTGTTCATTTTTGAATTATCTATGGGGATTTTTAAACTACTAAAATCCAGTGAGCACCCAGTTGCACTGAAGGAACTCAACAAATTCCTGAAGTATAGTGCGAAACTCACAGAAGCGAAATGCTCAAATATTGTTCATTTTTGAATTATCTATGGGGATTTTTAAACTAGTAAGATCTATAATCATTCAGTGGTTCCCTTTTTTCTTCTCTTCATTTTAATTTTCTTAACCTTCTTCTTACAGACATTCTATTTCTAAAAGGTTTTATATACTACTAATATCTGTAAACCTAACTATTATACACCATAATAGAACATTATTTATAAGGAATTAGCATAAAACTAACAAAATAACGTCAGTAAACTGGTAACACATTCAAACCTTTTCTTTCTCGTTATTTCTTTCTAAATCTTTTGTGTGCATAAATGAGACATTTGAAATACGAAAAAATAAACATGTATTCATTTTAATAATTTAACACTAATATAAAGCAATTAGTCCCTTTAAATTCACTTAGTATTGTTTGTTTGAATCTTCCCATTGATGCTTGGGATTGCAACTGGTCAGTTAGTGAATAACGCGATGGCGTTTGAAGCGAAAAGTACTGGGTTTGAATCTCAGAGTGAACATCAAATCTGAGATGGAGTTACAATCAGCTTACGAGTCCGAAGTAGGACGAAGTGGCGCGCGTCTTGGATTCCACTGTTAGCCACTATCCATCTTTGCTTATAATTAGTCCCTTTGATAAATTTCGGTAGTTTAATAAGAAGATTATCAGAACTGTGTGATGAGATATTACGGCAATATATTTCGAACAATCTGATCACACATTATATACTTAGTGAGAAAGTCTGTAATTTTTGTGTCAAATACATTCAATTGTCCCCGATCATGTTCTCATTCACTACAATTCCATCATAATTTAAACTTGTGTGTTTGTCAAAATACAATAGTTATAAATAGTTTTCTGTACTATATTTTGACACTGTTTTGGGGAATAAACTTCCTACTTACTAGTCTTCTGTCTTCTCTCTCGCAACGTTGCGGGTTCGATCGTTCAAGTAGTCTAGTAGTACGCGGCATAATAAGAAATCAAAGCTCTAGATATAACAATCAGTAAACTGATTTTGTCTACGTATGCTTTATATGGAACTATATTTGTAAAATATTTTGTTTACAAGATTATTGTCTATGTAGATTTATAGCAGACAGATGGAAATGAACTGATGGTACTACATAATGATATAGTTATTATTTTTGCATTGCTAAATGTTCATCAAGTATACATGTCGAATTTGTTTACGAACTTATTGATTGTTGGTTTGATCCATATTGAAAGATGCAGACTATTTGGTTTGGTCGCTGGTGAAAGTTACGACTGATGGTTATAGTCATTTAACGACATGGTGGTTACTGGGTCACTTTGCCTTAGATGTATTCATTCCTCCTCCATTGGATCTTGAAATCCAATGTTTCTTTATTTAAACATATTTCTACATCGTTTTGAATGTTTGGAATGTTTAGTTTTTCTCAGTATCCGTAATACTACTATTAGTTCAGCTTCTTACTGTTATGTATCTTAATAATTCCATCCTATCGTAGTGATATAATATGACTTAATTGAGATAACGAAAACTTGTACAAGGGTCCATGTTGATTATGACTTTCTAACTGTAAAACTAAAGGATTGACTATAAAGGTTACGGATGACCAGATGATAAAAAGTATGATTAAAAATGATGTCACAATTGTAAAGACCTTACAAAAAAATTGAAATCTGAGATCAATAATTAGTGTCTTTCTAGTGAAGAATTGTTAATTTGTTAACCAAATGTCATTGTTTAAATGATGAAACTATTTTACTCAGAAACATTACAATAACTAAGTAAAGCTTTTCTTATGTTAATAGTTTATTTCATTATAAGAATTAAGCTTGGATAATTTTCAATGTTTTAAGTCATTACAGTTGAAAAATGATTCAGTATATGTTCCATAGGAATTGAAAGTTTAACATGTGACTAAAATCTTCAATGTCAAGTCAATCATTCTCAATACACAAAAAGCAATTAGGAATTCAGGTAAAAAAAAAATTATGTATTTATAATCGACATTATTTTTGAGCTGAAAGTATGTGTAACCAACTGATATTGTTAGTCTAGTGCTTCCAAGTTTTCCATGATGGTCTAGCTTTAATGGACTCATGATTTCAACTATGAAAAATATTGAAATCTTCACAAAACCCTTTCTGATGATATTGTTAGTCTTCAGAATGTTTAATAGTAACTGATAGTGATTAAAAGTTGTCAATTAATTATTTATGCCTAAACATGATAATGTGAGAAGTAATTCAACGTCACTACATACATTACGTTCATATCATCCCATTTACGTTACTAAATAAAACTTTCTAAATAGTTAGATAGTAGCTAATGAGTACCAAACAGAATGTAAAGCATGCTCTGAATTTTACTACTAACTACTATGGACATTTATGAAAGTAATTATAAGTCTATGGTAATATTTAGATGATCGATTGAGGAAGCACATGCGTTACAAGAAAATGATTGATCCTAGTCGTATATATTAATGACAGGAAGAAACGAACTTTCAGAGAAGGAGAGTTTGTATGTTTGTTTGTTCTCAAAAAACATATTCGAATGGAACATTAAATTTGTCTATATATTCAAAACGTTTTATCACTGATTAAGTAGTTTATTCCTAGCTATTTAAAGTGTAAGTCTATAGTCATGATAATATCAGTGTACTTACTTACTTACTTACTAACTTATCATTCATCAAACATTAATTAGTAATAGATTTATCATTTCCAATAATACTATGAATGATGTCAATTAAATCACTACTCCATACTATAGTGCCAGTGAAATGTCACTGAGCCCTAATCAAATCATCCGGCATTTGGGTCACTGGATATCCAAACAGATCATTGATTCCTATCAAAATGAAGGACAACCAACGCATATCAGTTATTTGTATACCTTGGATTAGCGCATCCAATGGTGGTCTCGCTATCTTCTCTGTACTCATAACACAAGAAAGCGCCAGATAAATATGCGCCACACAAATCTCATTCGATTTTTGTGAGGGCTGTGATACTACCCAGGTGCCCAGACTGAAGCAGGTGGTTTTCTTAGGGGACTCAAGACCTCCGGTCTCGCAAGCGAACGCTTAATCTGTAGACCACTGAGTAGGCATTTAATGTTAATGCTAATGTTTAAATTCAACCAATCCACGATATTACGCGAATGTCCACCATTGTTTTCAGCTAGTTACTACGTCACAATATACACAATTTGTTAAATATTACATGAATACAATCTAGTACATTCATAGATTAAATGACTCAGTGAATAATATGATTATAGCTAGACGCCTGTTTCGTCCTAATATGAGACTCCTCAGTAGTGCGTATTCGCGATCCCATAATCAAGATTCGAACTCAGGACCTCCGGTCTCGCAAGCGAACGCTTAATCTGTAGACCACTGAGTAGGCATCTAATGGTGTTAATGTTTGAATTCAACCAATCCACGATATTACGCGACTGTTCACTATTGTCTTTAATCAGTGACTATGTCACAACATACATAGTTTATCAAATATTACATAAATACAATAAAATACATCCATGAATTAAATGATTCAGTGAAAAATATTATTATAGTTATATTACAGAATGTTAATAATTGATAGTTAGTTGGAATTGGCAAATCTCAATCATTTGATACAATCATATTTTTATGAATAATGTTCGTGAACATTTAATTATAACCGGGGGAAAATAGATACGTTTGACTAAGAGATTCCCACTAATAATTTTTAAGTAGAACTAAAAACTAAGATAAGTAAATAACAATAATAAATGCAAATTATTGGGATGATCAATTCATATAAATGTTATGTGTTGTACAATCTGTTGGTCTAACAGTCAAGTCTTTATCACTAGACCTGGGTTTGATATCTGAAAAGGTCGTGGGTGTACAAGTCTAAAGAGTTACATACCATGAGTAGTCGGATATTCAATGCTTCGTTTTTTTTAATAATATCCTAACTAATATCAATGTTTTCGCTGATATCACGTATAAAATACCGCTTACCTACTGTATTTCCAATGAACATTAAACATAAATTCATTTAGTATTGTTCGTTTGAATCTTCCCATCGATATGTTAGGACTGCAACTGGTCAGTCTCTAATTGGCATATGTGCATACTGTGCGTATGGCCTCGATATAGTCTAAATTCACAAGCATGCTAAGCAGAGATGGATAGTGGCTAGCAGTGGAATCCAGAATGCGCGTTTCGTCCTATTTGAAACTCGTCAGCTACATGTACCTGCATTTCAAGGTCAATGTTCACTCTGGGACTCGAACCCAGTACCGTTCGTTTCAAACGCCATTGCGTTATCCATTCAGCTACTGAGTCCTGGCAGCCACTTGCTTGTACAATCGGGTGAAATTTAAATTCAACTTGGTATTGTTTGTTTGAATCTTCCCATCGATTTGTTAG